TCCGTCACGGCAGCCCGGCTGAGCAGGCAGCACTCAGCAAAGCACCACGGCGGGAGGAAAAGGAAAGGGGAAGGGAGGCGGGGAAAGACGGAGGGGAGTGAGAGGCATGAGGGGGAGAAGAGAAAGAAAGAGACGGAGAGAGAGGCAGGAGGTGGAGGAGAGCTGAGGGGGGGGGAGGCAGTAGGAGGAGAGAGAGAGAGACAGAGCGAGAGAGCTCAGGAGAGAAGACCTGAAAATCCCGTCTTATGACGGGCTAATTGGCTAGTTTTATATATTGCACCCATCTAATGTGTGCTGCTGCACCATGTGGACAAGCCTTTAGAGTCAGTAAGCTGTTTGGGGCTGGGACTATGTTTTCTTACATGTCTGTACTCTATATACCATGAAGCACATTTTGGTTACTACTGTAGAGAGCTCAGGAGAGAAGACCTGAAAATCCCGTCTTATGACGGGCTAATTGGCTAGTTTTATATATTGCACCCATCTAATGTGTGCTGCTGCACCATGTGGACAAGCCTTTAGAGTCAGTAAGCTGTTTGGGGCTGGGACTATGTTTTCTTACATGTCTGTACTCTATATACCATGAAGCACATTTTGGTTACTACTGTATTTGAAAACATTTTTAGAGGTTGCTTATCTAGAGGCCTCTTATCTTATTGGCTGAGACTCCAAAGTGACTTGTTTGAACCAATTCCTCTTCTCTTTGGGCTAATGACATCTACAGGTGTTCCACATAGCCATATTCAAGTGGTGGCCCACAGGTGGCAATGTGGATTCCTGACAATCTGCATCACAACTTAAACAGGCGCAGCCTGGGGCTCCTCCATACACTATGCATTGCTTCTACAAAGATCTCCTTTTAGAGGCTGTGCTTTGCAAAATGTTTCCATGGGCCGGGGAGTAGTGAGGGGAGAAGGAAACTGAGCTGAAATAGAACATTGGAAAATGGAACTTATCGGTATCGTGGCCACAGCAAGTCCGTGACTTAGGCCTTGTCTACTCTTAACAGCATCTTTGATCTACTTCAGCTACACGAATAGTGTAGCTGAAGTTGACATACTGACCGCGACGTCTTGTGTGTGGTAAGGCTGGTGGGGACTGCTTTCACGTCAATGCCAGCTACTCTTCTCATCCTGGTGGAGAATAGGCATTGACGGAAGCACACTTAGAAATTGATTTATTGCATCTACATAGATGCAATAAATTGATAGCCAGTGGATTGATCACTGTAGCATCGATCCACTGCATAGTGTAGACAAGGCCTAAGAGAAATAAGGCAATTCAAATGTACAGTGGATTCATGTGATAAGCATTTTACAGACAAGTTTTACCTCCATTTGTTATCAATTTGACATATTCTCTTATAGTTCAAGTGGGTGCATCAGTCTTACTCATATGGGAACAAAAGAATAACGAAGTGCATTGAAGTGCCCTGCAGAGCCAAATTATTATGTGGAGGAGAGAGTTGGCATGGGGAATAGTAGCTTACCTAGAGTATGTGTTAACAATCCAATCAAGTAATGCATAAAATTCATTGAATTCCAAGGGTCTCTGCAAGAGAGCTTCAAGGTGTGAAGAAATGGCATTGTGAAATGACTCCACATATGTCTCACATACTTTATAGTCATCTGGGTAACACTTTTGCACCGAGTGCTTAATTTTCAATAAATCTTCACTAACGTATTTTCTGAGGAACCCTAAATGGATAGCAAGCCAAGAATCATTGTCCTCCTTCAACGAAATAGGCACTCTCTGGACTCTCCATTGAGCACTCTGTCTGACAGCTTCCTTCCACACATCTCGCCACTTTCTGGGTCTGCCAATGCAGTCTGATTCTGAAGAGTCAGGGCCCTGTACATCAGCATGAGCTTCTTCTTCTTCAGAAATTAAGGTCACCATAGACATCAACAAACTTTCATTTATACTGGGCTGATCAAGTATTTCCTTCACAATGGATGTGATCGAGTCAGCCAGCGAGATATAGAGCAAATCCACATCCTTGACTTTTCGTGCATATTCTGTAGGATTGGCTTCACCTTTCTTGACCTCTTTTTCAGTTATAACTTCGTTTTCCAAATACATGATGTATTCAAATGCCTTCAAAAGTTGCTTCTCCTTAATAAGGTCACTTATTTGCATTACTGCAGAGAGAACATGGGCAAGGGAGAGAGATTATGAGCTGACTTTAAGCTATTTAATGTGCCTGTTTTAACAATAGATATATGATAACTAGATGCCCGTTTTTGATGGAACACCCAGGCAAAAAGGGATCCTCCTCAGCCCTCCCCAGCCTAGTGAATATGAGCAAATGAGTGAGGGTGGGGGAGACACACAACAGAGGGAGAGGGGAGGAAGTGAGTTGGGGGTGGGGGTGGAGAAGGGGCGGGGCAAGGGTGTTCAGTTTTGTTTGGTCAGAAAGTTGGCAACACCAACAAAGATCACAGGAAAGAGCAGTGTCGGAGTAAATATTGCAGAGTTGCCCTTGACTTTCTACTGTGTGAAGATTGGCACTCTCTGTAACCACTGCTTTATACAGAGGCAAAGCCGGCCGGGAGAGAGTGATGCGGCAAGCCAGCTGCTGGACCACTCCAGGTTCTGCTGCTACAATAAGTGTGCGGGAGGGGGATGACCCCTGTTGCCATCCTGCATCAGGCCCCCAGCTATCCCCAGGCTTGCATAGCACGTGGGAGGAGGTGACGGGATGGAGCAAGGTTGGAAAGGGGCACGGTGGGGGGTGGAGCAAGGGGTGGGCTTGGGGAAGGGATGGAGCAGGGTGGAATGGGGATGGAGCAGAAGTGAGGGCGGGGCCTGTTCCGGAGGGCGGGGGCAATTGCCACAGGCCCCATGTCCCTCTAGAGACAGCCCTGCACAGAGAACTACTGTTCAAATGAAATCCCTGAGCTATCAGAGCTGTGTCTCTGAGGGTGTCTACACTGCAATGAAAGGCCCACAACTAGCCTGGGTCAAGTGGCTTAGGCTTGGGACTACAAAAGTGCACGATAGCTGTTTGGCTGGAGCCGGGGCTTTGAGACCTTCCCACTCAGAGCTGGACTCTGAGAGGCAGAGTTGCATGGTTTTCGTCCTTGGCCATACCATAAGGAGCTGGTTTTTGAAGTAACACCTTACACCAGAGACAAGAAACATGTGCCATATTAATTAACATGCTTATAGGAATGTTCAAGCATTGCCTCAGTCTGGGTCACAGCATGACATGAGTCTCCCCAAGGCTCTGCCCCTCTGCTCCTACCGCCACATAATAGTCTTGGCGTGGCAGCTGTGCTGAAGCCCTAGAGCCAACCAGGCCAGCCCACCATTGACTAGCACATAGAGCAGCAATGAGGTATGCCAATGGGATATGATCACATGGTCCCAGCCCCCTAGTTTAGTGGTGTACAATGGTGGCGAGAAGGCTGCAGTGCAGCTCTGAGCTGGGGGATGATTGCACCTGTCCATCATCCTAGCACTTTGCCTGCATGTACCTGTTGTCTTGGGCTTTGTGCCAGTGATGTGAATTTCACCCAAAATAAAGAACAAATTTCTTCCAAAGTCCCTACCATAGTTGTAAACTATGTCTAACTTGTACCATGCATCTCAAAGCAAATATGTCATATGGTATTGTTCTTACAAAGTTCACTGTAAACCAGACTGTCTGCATAGGTTTCACATTGAAAACAAAACCAGTGCAGCAAGTCATCAGAAGAGGCAAGATTTCCTAGAACCTTATACTCTAGTAGGGCTGTGTCTACACTGGACCACTTATTCCGGAAAAGCAGTCACTTTTCCGGAATAACTTGCCAGCTGTCTACACTGGCCGCTTGCTTTTCCAGAAAAGCAATGACGATCTACTGTAAAATTGTCAGTGTTTTTCCGGAAAAACTATGCTGCTCCCATTTGGGCAAAAGTCCTTTTCCGTAAAACTGTTCCGGAAAGGGCCAGTGTAGACAGCACAATAGTCTTTTCTGCAAAAAAGCCCTGATCGCGAAAATGACGATTGGGGCTTTTTTCCAGAAAAGCACGTTTACATTGGCCATGGACGCTTTTCCGGAAAAAGTGCTTTTCCGGAAAAGCGTCCTGCCAATGTAGACGCGCTTTTTCCGGAAATACTTATAAAGGAAAACTGTTCCGTTTTAAGCATTTCCGGAAAAGGGTGCCAGTGTAGACGTAGCCTAGGGCTATGTCTCTACTGCCCCCACTTGCGCAAAAAAATATGCAAATGAGGCAAAGTGTAGAATATCGCTGTGCTTCATTTGCATAATTAACGAGGCTCCGTTTTTGTGCAAGAGGCTTTTGCGCAAAAAGGAGCCGTCTAAACGTCTTTTTTTCAGGAAGAACGGCTCTTGTACAAGAGAGGGTTTTTGCACAGAAGCCTCTTGTACAAAAACAGAGCCTGATTAATTATGCAAATGAGGCGCAGCGATGTTCCACACTTTGCCTCATTTGCATATTTTTTTGCGCAAGAGGGGGCAGTGTAGACGTAGCCTACGAGTTAGGATTGGACCCGAGCTCTGCTATTAAATTTTCCTTTCCCATCCTTGGGGCAAGAATTGCATTAATTAGTCTTACTTCACTTGCTAACCAGAAACAGAGTGTGCACAAAGCTGCCTTTCTGGATGCAGCAGCGGTGTGACAACAGAAATCTTTGCTACTGCGTGAGAGACAGAGCCGTCCCTCAGGTACGGCAAACTGGGGCAACCACGTTGGGCCCTGACCTTTTGGGAGGCCTGCAGTCCAGCGAAACTGGCCAGCATGGGGGTGCTGGAAGTGATGTATTTGCTCTGTGCTCCGCATCTCCCTAAGAACATCCCTGGTGCTAGACTTCAATCCTGGGCACCTTCAGGCTCCTAGAGATCACTGGGAACTTTAGCCCTCTAACCAGGTTCTCTGGGCATGGTAATGTGGCTATGGGCTAGCATAATGCAGAAATGGAACTATCAAGCAGGGAGATGGGAGTCCTGTTATGTGTCTACCCTTTAAAAAGGATATTGAGAAATTGAAGCATTCAAGGAATAACAAAAAGAATGATTTGTGGACTGGAAGATGCCGGCCAGGCTTGTCCACAAGTTTTTTCTGCGATCTTAGCTTATTTTGGTGCATGTAGTTATCCTGATATAGACACCATTATAGTAATATAACTGCATGCAATTTAGGAGTATACCGCTTTCAGTTTATCTATATCTGTTTAAACTGGTACAGACAAGTCTTTACAATGAGACACTAAGGAATTCAGTCTAGTCAGTTATCAAAGAGAAAATCTGAGGCAATCTGATCATTTTAAGTACCTACACAAGAAAGAGAGATCTGATACTAAATGGCTGGTTAATCTAGCAGAGAAAGGGCTGGAAAAAACAGAAGGTTGACAAATTCAAACTGGAAATAAAACACCCCTTTTTAAAAACAACGAGGGTGATTAACCATTGGAACAACTGACCACTGACTGTGGGATATTCTCTATCACTTGCAATCATTAAATCAAGATGGACTGTCTTTCTAGAAGAGATGCTCTAGTTCAGACACAGTAATTGGACTCAGTGCTGGGATTATTGGTGAAAGACAATCACACAAGCTATGGAGGTGAGCCTTGATCAGGAGTGGACAATAATTTTTTCAGAGGGGCCACTTAGGGTTGCCAGATAGTTTCAACAAAAATACTGGACACACTTGACATTACATTGCAATCTACATTACATCTTAGTTAGAAAATACTGGACATTTCTATTTTCTCATTTATACTTTCTCAATTTGTTTCCTGAACAGAAAACTCAAATACTGGACTGTCCAGTTCTAAACCGGACACCTGGCAACTCTAGGTCCATTTAATGTATTTTGCAATGTGGTCATGGGCTGGCTGCAGCTCCTGCAAGAGGCAGGTTCTGGAGAGGAAAGAGCAGGGCTGGGGACTGAGTTGTCTGAGGCCGGAGGCTTTGAATTAAAAACATAGCAAAGGCTCACAGCTTCCGGCCCCGCTGCTGCAGCATTGCCTGGCAGCCAGTCAAGGTTGATGCAGCCATTTAAAAGGCTCGCAACTCTGGCCCTGCCAGATTAGCCCCACAACCATGAGCCGTGAGCTATTTAAGTAGGATCCTGCTGCCTGAGCCACCGCCTGGAAATTCGGTGGCATGGGCAGCAGGATATAAATAGAAAGTGGCCAGATGCAATCCGTGGGCCGGCCCTCTAGGTCCATTTAATGTATTTTGCAATGTGGTCATGGGCTGGCTGCAGCTCCTGCAAGAGGCAGGTTCTGGAGAGGAAAGAGCAGGGCTGGGGACTGAGTTGTCTGAGGCCGGAGGCTTTGAATTAAAAACATAGCAAAGGCTCACAGCTTCCGGCCCCGCTGCTACAGCATTATGCAGCCATTTAAAAGGCTCGCAACTCTGGCTCTGCCAGATTAGCCCCACAACCATGAGCCGTGAGCTATTTAAGTAGGATCCTGCTGCCTGAGCCACCGCCTGGAAATTCGGTGGCATGGGCAGCAGGATATAAATAGAAAGTGGCCAGATGCAATCCGTGGGCCGGCCCCTGGGCCACATCTTGCCCAGCCCTGACCTAGATTATCATAATGGTGCCTTCTGGCCATGATCTGTGAATTTAGGCCACTCAGTATGCAAAGCTGACAAGTGGGCTTAGATCCATTGTACAAAGCTCTCACTGTAACAGTGTGAAGCAGTTTAAGCATCTTCACTGATATAGATCTTCATTTGTGACACAGCCCTTCTAAGCAGTCCATCTAATGACATCAACAATGGCCTTTGGGCCCCACCTACATTAGAAATGTGGGTTAAGGTTAGGTCAGGGTGTATTAATTAATCTCAACCTTTTTCCTAGTATGGACACACTGTGATGCCTTTTACCTCGGCTAAGCAGTTAGAAGTGAGGCTCAGTCAGGCTGAAAGGCATTGCAGTGTGTCCACTCTAGGAAAGAGATATGGTTAGGTAGAGGCCAGTTGACAGAGACTCATTTTTTTAGTGTAGACAAAGCCCATATGAATGAGCATCCTTGTGATTTGGCCTGGAAAAAAAAAGAAAAAAAAAAGGTGCAGCAGCATTACCGTAAGAAATAGCAAATTAAAGGGTTGCCTCAAGACAAGCATCCCTCTTGAAACCCTTCAAGGCTAATAAAACATCATCTGTGGGGATCACAGAACATCCTGTTCATGGGTCTCTCTCTTGGAGTCTGGGTGACCTGTCTTCCATGCTCAGCCTTTAAAGACTCCAAGATCTGGAAAGGGATCAGGTTATTCTCTACCCAGGAAAATGCATTTCATGCAATGCTGTATTTTGTGAGGGACCCTGCAGTGTCTAGTCTGAATATTATTAGAAGCCTAGCAAGTGTTTTTACAGTGGATTTTATTTTCACCTCTTACCTGAGAGAGGTTCTTCTTTAATGGACCCTATATTCTCCCCGCTCTTGGTCACACTGGTGTTAGTCATGTTCTTAGCACTGCTGCCCTCTTCATTTTTTTTTAAGTTTCTCAGTGAAAAACGTTTGCTTCTTCTCAGGGTACCAGAGTCATCACCTGCTTTGTCTTTGGGTTTCTTCATGCTTAACATTCTTTTCAGAGCATTTTCAGGGCTCGTTGCCTCCTGATTGTTCGATCGTGAACTATTTAGTTCAGAAACAGAATTGGCTTCTTCATCCTTGATGTTTTTCACTGGGGATGTTGATTCTGCTGGGGACACCATTTTCTCACAGGGTTCAGGTATTGCCTTATTTTCATCTTTGTCTTTGGTAAAACTTTGTTTACTTTTCCTGATACTTAACATTCTTTTCAGAGTATTTTCGGGGCTCTTTGCCTCCTGATTATTCAAGGGTGAGCTATTTAGTTCAGAAACAGAATCAGTTACTTCATCCTCAATGCTTTTTACTGGAGATGCCAGTTCCGATGGAGATGCCATTTTTTCCCTGGGCTCAGGTATCTCCTTATTTTCATCTTTGTCTTTGGTTAAGCTCTGCTTACTTGTCCTGAAGCTTAACATTCTTTTGAAAGAACTTTCAAGGCTCTTTGCCCTCTGATTGTTCGAAGATGAGCGGTTTAGTTCAGAAACAGAATCGGTTTCTTCATCCTTGATGTTTTTCACTGGGGATGTTGATTCTGCTGGGGACACCATTTTCTCACAGGGTTCAGGTATTGCCTTATTTTCATCTTTGTCTTTGGTTAAGCTCCGCTTACTTGTCCTGAAGCTTAACATTCTTTTGAAAGAACTTTCAAGGCTCTTTGCCCTCTGATTGTTCGAAGATGAGCGGTTTAGTTCAGAAACAGAATCGGTTTCTTCATCCTTGATGTTTTTCACTGGGGATGTTGATTCTGCTGGGGACACCATTTTCTCACAGGGTTCAGGTATTGCCTTATTTTCATCTTTGTCTTTGGTTAAGCTCCGCTTACTTGTCCTGAAGCTTAACATTCTTTTGAAAGAACTTTCAAGGCTCTTTGCCCTCTGATTGTTCGAAGATGAGCGGTTTAGTTCAGAAACAGAATCGGTTTCTTCATCCTTGATGTTTTTCACTGGGGATGTTGATTCTGATGGGGATGCCATTTTCTCATAGAGCTCAGGTATCTCACCTTTGCATTAACTGGTTTTCAGAAAGAAGAGGAGTAACTGGTCAAACAAAAGAAACAGACAGGAGCAGAATTAAGCACTGGGATCTATGTACTGCTGGGATATTGTTGTGTCTCATGAGCTACCCTTAGTCAGCAACTCATATCCCCCGCATGACAAATTCACAAATCTGACGAAGTGGGTTTCCCAGTTGGTGCTCTGCAGAACCCTGCGGCTCCTCAAAGTAAAAGTAGGGCTTCCGTGAAGAGCTGGCACTTCCCCGCCCTGTCTGAAAGAGAGAGAGCTGGCTCGCTTGTTTCCTCCCTGGTGACACAGAGGCATAGTGAGGCAGGGGCAGAGGGGAACAGTTGCCCCCGGCCGGCACACTAGGAAGGTGCCAGACAGGGGTGACTCCACGTGACCCACAGCGGGGAAGGAAGCACTTTCCCTCCCCAAAGGAGCCAGTGTGCGCTGCCTGAACAGCTGGGGCTGTGGCTCCCGGCAACTTAGTTCCGCCGCCTTTCTGCAGTGCAGGGGTAGGGGGGGTAGGTCAGGAGACCCGGGTCTGCACAGCTCCAACTGTACAGGCTCTGCCCTGGGACTCACCGCGCCCCTCCCCCATCCCACAGGATGTGGAAGTAAGTTGCTGGAGTGCAAGAGCCCCTGCTGCTCAGGCAGCGTGCACACCAGCTGTTTGGGGAGGGGAAGTGCAGTCGCACACTTCCCAGAACCCAGAGGTGCTGCAGGATTGCCAGGTACTGGTCCCAGTTGCCCCTGTCCCTTGCCCAGACCCCCCATGAGTACCCTGTCCCCTGCCCCCACCAGCACTGTCTCCAGCACCCAGCAGCACCCTGTCCCCGGCCCCAGCACTCTGCTGCCCACCCCAGGACCCTTTCCCCAGCCCCAGCCATCCACCCTAGCACCCAGCACCATCCTGTCCCTGGCCCCAACACCCTGCCACCCACCCCAGAACCACACTGTTCCTGGCCCCAGCACACTGCCACCCAATGCAGCACCCAGCAGCACCCTGAAAAGCTCAGTTTTCTCTAGTGCCTTAAATAAGAAATCAAAGCATAATATTTTCTGTGCTCTGAATTGCCATGGTTACAGTTCTGCAGAGGCTACAGAATGCAATGAACTTTTATAGAGTACACATGGTCAGAAAACACTTAAAAATCAAACAAACCAAGGCCAGTCTGGGAATAGTCTGCAGATTGTTGGGGGTTTTTGGGGGGTGGGGGGCAGAAAGGAGGGCTCACAGGACTTTTCTACACTAGGAGCACTTAAAAGCAGTTGCCTACCATAGCTAATATGTTAGGAGCCCAAGTGGAGACATTGAGCCAGCTGCTGACATCTTTTTCATTGCCACTTCATCTCATTTCTCTTCATGGTAAAGGGCCCCAACGTGATTGTTAAGTCCTGTGCTGAGCAAGCCCTGGGGCACTGTGTCCCAGGGATGCCCCCTAGAGGCACAAGGCCTTGCCAGCTTTCTCAAGGGAGATTTGATTTCTGTAGCTGGATGATTATCAACACCCATTTAATACTATGAATGCCCCGTTGGCCAGCCAGAATTGGGCTGGATTGCACCATCTCAGGGACTTGGCACTTTTCTGCAAGGAGGCAGTTATTTCATTCACTAGCTTCACAGCTTCCACTTCAAAAAACCCAAACGTAGTGTTCTCAGGGCTGGAGTGCAGGCTCAGCATGGCGACTGCTCCCTGCCATGGACACGTAGACAGAGCCAATAGTCTGCTCTTTCCCAAGGCATGGACAGGGGTAAGTTATTGGTGTCCATTAAAGGGCTGTTGCAGATCGTATCTCCTCTGGAGCCAGGGAGAAATGGTAACTCTGAATCACGCTTCCTTCCCTGGCCTGTTCCTCTTGCTTGGGTCACTGGTCCAGCAGGAAAGAAAGTGAAAGGTGGCAGGATGATCCCATATAACAACCTGCATGGAACCTGGGGGAGGAGCACAGGAAGAGTACAGACAGGCCCTAAATGCTCGTATGTGAGAACACAGGGTTACCAACTAGCCAAACTCAAACACCCTTGCCCAAGCCCCACCCTGTTTCTGAGGTCCCACTCACTTTATCCCCCCTCCCTCGCTCCCACCCTCACTTACACTAGGCAGAGGCAGGGGGTTGGGGTATAGGAGGGGGGCAAGCTCTGGGCTGGGGCTGAGAGGTTTGGAGGAGGCTCTGTGCTGAGCCTGGGGCCAAGGAGTTGGGGTGCATGCTCTGGGAGGAAGTTTGGGTGCTGAAGGGAACTCAGGGGTGGGGCATAGATTTGGGATGCAGGAGCAGGGTGCTGGCTGTGGAAGGGGGCTCAGAGCTGGGGCACGAGATTGTGATATGGAAGAGGGTAGGCAGGGCTGGCTCTGGACCAGGGCTCAGGGCTGCACAGGGGACTTGGGTTCCAGCTGGGTGGCTTGGGTGGCTCCTGGTTAGTGGCTTTGAAAAGCTCAGAAAAGCTAAGGCAGGGACCCCACCTGCCCTGGTCCTGCACCACTTCCAGAAACAGCTGGCATATCCCTGTGGTGCGGGGCAGAAGGTCTCTATACACTGTCCCGTCCTGCAGGCAGCATCCTGCAGCTCTCATTGGCTGCAGTTTCAGGTCAATGGGAGAAGGTCAATGGGAGCTGTGGAGTCAGTGCTGGGAGTGGGACAGTGAGTGGAGATCCCGACCCTCACCACAGGCTGCAGGGACGTGACAACCATTTATGGAAGTAGTGAAGAGCCAGGGCAGGCAGGGAGCCTGCCTTAGCCCTGCTGCACTACTGGACTTCTAAGGTGCATCTACACAGAAGGGCTTAACTCAAAATAAACTACGCAAATTGAGCTATGCTAATTGCATAGCCTATTTCGAAATAAGCTTTTTCGAACTAAGCTATGTAATTAGCATAGCTTATTTCGAAATAGGGAGCATCTACACAGCACTTATTTTGAAATAGAGCACACTTCCTCCAACTTCCCTTACTCCTCATACAATGACGCTATGTCTACACTCGCAGCTTCTTGCACGAGAAATATGCAAACGAGGCTAAGTGTCGAATGTCGCCGAGCCCCATTTGCATACCTAATGAGCTGCCAT